CTCTCCTCTTCTCCCTCCCTGTCTCTTTCTTTTTCTTGCTTGCTTGCTTGCTTTTTTTTCTCCATTCCCGTTCCTTCCTCCCTCCCTCCCTCTCTCTCTCTCTCTCTCTCTCTTTCTTTTGTTCATTCTCAGTTCCTTTCTTCCTTCCTTCGTTCCTTCTCACTCTTTCTTTCTTTCCTCCTCTTTCTCTCTTCCTGCCCCTTCCTGCCCCTTCCTTCCTCTTCTTTCTTTTTCCTTTCTCCATTTCCCTTCCTTCCTTCCTTCCTTCCTTCCTCCTTTCCTCCCTTCCTTCCATCCACCTTCCTCCTCCCTCTTCTTCTTGGTTCTTTCCTCCCCTTCCTTCTTTCTCTCTTTCTCTTCGTTCCCCCTTCCCTTTTCTTCTTTCCTTCCTTCTTTCACCCCAGCAAGTGGGTTGCACCCCAAGTGCCAAGAAAAAGTTGCAGCTCAAGGGCTGATCTCTCCCCAAAACACTATCTAGCTTGGACCCCGATTGGTCTTAAATCCACTAAGGTAAAAGCCTCTTTTTCCCCCCTACTTTGCATTATCTGTTGGATTTCAAAACAGAGACTGGGACCCTGCTGGCATTCAGTTACGTGGCCTCTAAAAGCAACGCTGAGCTCATTTTATGTTGCTTTTGATTTCCTTCTGCCAAGTTCTCTTCTGCAGACCAAATTCCCCAACTTTAAGTGGTAAAAAAGACCGCTTTACTGCACCTTAATTTTCAGGGATTATTGCTTAGAAGACTTAAAATAACTTTATTGCCACGTTGAATGTACACTAATTGGCATACATCAAAATGAAATTTCGCTATATGTAGTATATATTGGAGGCTCTCCACCTCCAATATACACTACATAAAGATGACAACAATAAATAAATCCAAGATTATGCATATACCCACATATATTATGTGTGCATAATACAGCCTAGTTCAGATGTATACATGTACATGGCAAGAAAAACTAATCTTGCGAATTTGCCAGACATATGGCATTGGGAACAAAGCTGTTACAGAATTTGGAAGTCTTGCTATAGATACTTCAAAACCTCCTCCCAGAGGGGAGCAACAGAAACAGACCGTGAAGTGGGTGTGTGGGGTCTCTAACAATTAAGCGTTAAGAGTTGTTAACCTAACCTTACGTAGCTTTTTCTCTGGTAATATTACACTAATAACTAGAAACACTTGCTAGACCAATACTGGAATACAGCTCATCAGTCTGGACCCCACATTACGTATCTGGTACTAACACAGTTGAGAAAGTCCAGAAATATTTCACAAGAAGAGTTCTCCGCTCCTCTACTCGTTGCAGAATACCTTAGGCCACCAGACTCGAAATTTTAGACCTAGACAACCTAGAACTACGCCGCCTTCGGTCCGATCTAAGTATAGTATATAAAATCATACATTGCAATGTCCTACCTGTCAATGAATACTTCAGCTTCAACCATAACAACACTAGAGCAAACAATAGATACAAACTCAAGGTTAACCGCACCAAACTTGATTGCAGGAAATACGACTTCAGCCACAGAGTGGTCAATGTCTGGAATCCTCTACCTGACTCTGTGGTTTCTTCCCCAAACCCCAAAAACTTTAACCTTAGACTGTCTACTATTGACCTCACCCCCTTTCCTAAGAGGTCTGTAGGGGGCGTGCATAAGCGCACCAATATACCTATCGTCCCTGTCCTATTGTTTCTTTTATTTTTCTTATATGTATCCTTGTATTAATAACTATGTTTTTACTTATACCTGTTATCTTGTAAGCAATTGACAAATAAAAATAAATAAATAAATTAAATGGTTTGAGCTCTAAGCACATAGCGCTTATAAGCAGCATCCTGAATGACAGGAAGCAAGCTTTCTATAATCTTCTCCACCGTCCTCACCACTCTCTGTAGGGACTTTCTATCTGAGATGGCAACAAACAGGGATGCAGAGAAGAGCAACCAGGATGATTAGGAGGCCCGAGGATAAAACATATGAAGGACAGTTGCAGGAATTGGGTGTGTCTCGTTTAATGAAATGGTAGAGTCTCCTGCTTGAGCAGGGGGTTGGACTAGAAGACCTCCAAGGCCCCTTCCACCTCTATTATTTTGATTGATTAATAAATGATAATAAAATAATAACAATAAAACGCCATTTCTGTTTCCCAGGTTCTACCAGAAGATCCAGGTTTTGCATCAAGGATCGAGCGGCACCATGGCGAACCCGTTGATGGCGTTTGCCCTGATCAAGAGATTGCAGTCGGACTGGAGGAACGTGGTTTACAGCCTGGAAGGAAGTGAGAATATTCAAGGTGCGCCTTCCTCACAACTCTTTTAAATGGGTCTCCGGGAGTACGACCAAATAACAGCAATCCTTGATTTACTACCGTTTGAATGAACGGTTGTAAATCAAGGACTGCTTTCATTTGGGCGTAGTTCTGTAGACCACCCCCCTTGTGAATGGCATGGCGGCCTAGTGGTGAAGATGCTGGCCTCCCATTCAGAAGGTTGAGAGTTCAGTCCTAGGTAGCTGCAGATATTTCTATCATAGGACGCAAAGAAAAAGAAAAAAATGCTGGTAACTCCACATAGACATCAGGAAATGCATCCAGCCAATAAATGCTCAGCTCCATCTTGTCACGCCGACTCTATGCCAAATTAAGTAATAAAAAGAGAATTTGAAATTACAACCATGCTGAAAGGAAGTGTTGTGGCCCGCCCGTGGCTAGCAGAGCTGGCAGCAGAGTCGGACAGTCGTGAGGAGGTTGGGGAGGAACAAGGGCCAGTCCTGGAGGCCGAGGAAGGCTCGGACGAGGGCTCTGCGTTGGAGGCAGGGATGAGGCCAGGACTGTCTGGCAGTCATCAGCTGCCTTCAGAGTCGGACAGCAGTGAGGTGGAGGAGCAGCTGGAGCCGGTTCCCAGCGTGCACATGTGCAGAGCTGCCAAAAGAAAAGAGCAATTATGAATTAAGGGTCAACGCGGGAGTAAAGCCACAGGTGGACTATGAATGGCCCCTCCCATAGGGATTAAAAGAGGAGCAAAAGGGGAGGGGGCCTTTTGCAGGAAACCATTCGTTGCAGCCGTGTGAAGCTCTCTGTGCATCTCAGAGATTCTGTGCCGAGTCCTTCCTTGTCAGCACTGCGTTTGGAAATATTTACTTGGCAGCTCTCCAAGCTAGATGAGGTCTGTGCTCCTAATGACACCCGTGAAAGGCTGTTGGCCAGGCCTTTGGCTGAAGGTGAATGCAAGAAATCCACCTTTGTTTAATAAAAGGGGTTTTGCTGGGACAAAGAGTCTGCTTAGTACTTTTGGAGGAAGCCGAGGTTAGAACAGAAAGTTACTTAAAAACCCAGTCATCACACTTACGACCAGTGTAAGGACCTTGCAATCACTTGATCCAAATTCGGGTGCTTGGCAACGGTTGTAGCATCCCAGGGTCACGTGATCACTATTTTTCACCTTCCCTGCTGGCTTCTGACTAGCAAATCAGTGAGAGAAGCTGGATTCACTTAACGACCGTGGCCAGAGAGGTTTTTAAGCAGATACTGGACATCAATTTGTCTGAAGCGGTTTAGGGTCTCCCGCTTGAGCAGGGGGTCAGACTGGATGACCCCCCCCCAAGGTCCCTTCCCACTCTGTTATTCTGTTGTCCCAACTGATCTGGTTTTTCAGCCCTGAAGGTCAGCTATCACCGCTTAGAAGACCGTCTACCTCTCTTTGAGGATCTCGAAGGAGCAGCCAGGGCCCTCATGCGCCTTCAGGACGTCTACGCTCTGAGCGTCAAAGAGTTGGCCAGAGGCCGATTTCAGACGACCAGCGGGGCCCATCCTGACCTCTACCGTCCCAGCCAGGATTTTGCCTTGTCTGCCGATGACTGTTTCCACATCGGGAAGGTGAGTCACCGAAAGCCAAGGTAGCCAAGAGACGATTCCTCAGACAAGGAAATTCCCAGTTGTGGGTTCTCCCGCCACCCCCACACCAGACGCACATACGTACCCTGTCCTTGTTTACTCAAGGGGGACTTGGAATACAGGTAGTCCTTGACATACATCCACATTTTGAACCCAAAATTTCTGGGAGACGTGTGTGAAGTGAATTTTGGCCCCGTTTTTACGACCTTTCTTGCCGCGGTTGGTAAGTGAATCCCTGTGGTTGACGAGTTAGTAACCCAGTTGTTCAGCGAATCTGGCTCCTTCCGTTGATTTTGCTAAGTCGCAAGAGGGGATCACGTGACACACACACACACCTGGGACACTGCGACCGTCATAAATATGAACCAGTTGCCCAGCATCCAAATTTTGATCACGTAATCATGAGGAGGCTACTGTTGTGGCCCCGGTGACGCCAGGCGGAGCTGGCAGCAGAGTCGGACAGTCGTGAGGAGGTCGGGGAGGAACCCGGGCCATTCCTGGAGGCTGAGGAAGGCTCGGACGAGGGCTCTGCGTCGGAGGCAGAGGTAGAGCCAGGGCAGGCTGGCAGTTATCAGCTGCCTTCAGGCTCGGACAGCAGTGAGGCAGGGGAGCTTCTGGAACCAGTTCCCAACCTGCGCATGCGCAGAGCTGCCAAAAGGAAGGCACAATTAAGAACTCGGGGCTGACGTGGGAGTAAGGCCACAGTTGGATGATGAATGGCCCCTCCCGTCAGGATTAAAAGAGAAGCAAAAGGGGACGGAGTGTTGTGGTTAGCCGGCAGCAGGTGCAGATGGCTAAGGAGAGCGAGGACTCTGATGAAGGGCCAGGACCATGAGGGAGTGGACTTCTGCCTTCAGAGATTGTGGAGGCTGGCAGCAGCGATGAGGAGATTCCCGAGGAGCCTGTGCCAAGTGCGCGTGTGTGCAGGGTTGCTGTTACAGCAGCACAGGCGACTTGGGAGTGAGGCTGCAAGGTAATGGCCCCTCCCTCAAGAGGATAAAAGCCAGGTTTGGAAAAGCGTTCTTTGCAGACAGCAAAGAAGCTCTGAAGCTCAACTGGTGGACATCTTAGTTCGTGTTGGGAGAATTCTGTAAATTAGTTCTTATCTCTGGGTTTTTGGCAGCCTTGACAAACAACTTGGCAAGGCTCTTTCTTGTCGGAGCTAATTGTTGGAAAGCAACCTTTTATCTGTAAAGGAACAGAATTCTGATTAAACCTTAAAAGGTGGGGGCTGCTGCCTTTGCCTGTGTTTGCCCTCTGGGAACCCGTTTGGGTCAGAACAGGCGGCTTTTGCAGGAAACAACTCGCTCGTTTGGTTGTCTGTTTGTTCCAGCCTCGTGAAGATCTGTCTGTATAACTCAGTCCTTCCTTGTCGGCACTGAGTGTGGAACTATTTACCGGACAGCGTTCCAGGATTGATAAAGGTCTGAGCTCATGAGTCTACCTTCGCAAGGCTCTTTGCCAAGCCGTTGGCTGACTGTGAATGAAATAAATTCACATTAATGTCATAAAAGAAGGTTTTGCCGGGACTCAGAATTTACTTAGTGCTGTTTGGGGAGGCCCAGGACCAAAGACTTACGTGGGAAAAACGGTCAGATATATCACATTTTCCCACCCCCCTTGTAACTTTGAAAGGTCACTCAATGAACTGCTCTAAGTCAAGGACTACCCGTACACCGGTCCTACGAGAGCTGGTGGCAGAAGCTTGGAATTAGCTGGCCCTGCGGGCCATCTTGGCAAAGCTTTGGGATGTCCACTTTGGTTCCAGGGAAGGCCGAACCATCTCGAATGACAGGGGCATCAATCCAGGGATGACCGCTCTGATCTCGTCTTTCTGCAATCCGGTGTGGATTGTACATCCGAATCAGTTTCTTGCAGGTGGCTTATGACAAGGAGGATTATTACCACTCCATCCCGTGGATGGAGGAAGCTGTCCGGCTCTTCCGGATCTCCTACGGGAACTGGAACACGGAAGATGAGGGGAGCCTGGAAGAGGCCCTGGACCATTTGGCCTTCTCCTACTTCATGGTGAGCCAGGCAGGGTTTTCCTGGATTTTCAGTGGCTTTTATTCCAAATGGCAGCTTTCTTTCTTACTTTTCCTTCCTTCCTTCCTTTCTTTCTCTCTCTCTCTCTCTTTCTTTCTTTCCTTCATTCCTTCTTTCTTTTTCTTTCTAATCTTTCTTTCCTCCTCCTCTTTCTTTCTTTCTTTCTTTTTTTCTTTCTTTACTTAGTTTTCTTCTTTCTAACCACCCTTCTTTCCTTCCTTTTTTCTTT